AGTTTTTGGGTAAAATTTTTTGGTTTTTTGTTTGAGACAATAGAAACTGATCACTCATTCCCTGACACTTGGCGTATGTTTTGAGGCTATTATCAGTGAAAATATAAGATAACGAACTCTAGACTTATAAATGCATTCATTTTTTTGTGTCTCACGTCTACTGTTTAATAATAGGTTTTTAAAAAGTTTTCATTACATTTTGTGTGATAAATATTTATGTGTTTTAAGGAATTTTAATTAATGTTTAATTTTTTTCAGTAAATTAATGTGAAATTAATGTTTTGTTGTAATTATTTTACGTTTAGATCCAACCGATTGGTCGCTAATAGGGTTCGGTAGCTCTGTATCGGCGTTTGAATCGCGAGATTATGATAATACTATGGATTAAGTTATGAATTAAATATGCATTTTATTAAATCAATTATTTGTGATTAAATATAGCGTTGTATTTATACAATAAAAAGTTTATTATTTTCATATTTATATGTAAATACAAAAGGATTAATGAAATTAAATGTTTTGTTTTGATTATTGAGATTAATATGATTTTTAAAATGTTATAATTGTTTAGTCATAATAGCGGCGATCGGACCCATAGGCCTGTATGTCATCGGAGTTCCTACTGTGATGGTTGGGGTTTGGGTTAAATGATTGGTACGCCTGTTGGTTAGGGTTTACATTTGTCTGGCTTCTCGGGTATTGTGGCCCTGATCATCAAATATATTATTAGTATTAAATTAGTAAATATTTTTAACGTATAACTCACTCAACATCGCGAGGAAAGGCTTCAATTTCTCCAATTCATTGTCACTGTTATTGTCGTATACGTTGTCGACATTGGCGGCGACCCTACTATCGGACGACCTATAGATCTGATCCTTGATTTGACTGTTGAACAGTCGGTCGTATCTGTCGTTCCGCTCGGTGTACACCTCATCCCTGGCCTCGTAGGTGTTTGCCTGTCGTTTGGCGTAATTGTTAGCACCGGCGGGTGGGTCCTCAACGAAATACATGACGTGCGCCGGGTTTGCCTGGTGTTTGAGGTATGGCTCGTTTGAGTTGATTTTGGCTACGAATCCCTCGGGACCGGCCGTGTAGTCCACCTAAAAATGTGTGTAAATTTTTTTATATGCAATCAATAAATCTGTAAAAATATCGATAAGTTTTCGCAAACTTTTCTGTAAATCCCATTGGAGTCGACGTATCCGTAGCTTCCGATGACATTCCCGTATTCATCGGCTTTTTTGGTGTGTTTTCATATGAAATTCAATGATAAATACAATAAATTATTCATATTTTTAGCGATAAAATAGTTTTTATAGAAAGTTTCAGAAAGTGTATATAAATTGTTTGCGTGATATAGTGTCGGATATAAATTGAATGCTAGCGTAAACCCCAAAACAATTTTGCTTTTTTATATAACTTATTGTTTTTTTTGAGAGAGAAAATCGTTTTTTGCCCTTTAATTTCAATCATATGTTATATTTTTTACTCAAAACACATTTTACGCATTCATAGCACTCTATAGTCTCGATATATTATATAATATTTTTTGCGTAAAACATTAATCTGTTGTCAAAACACAGAGTATAGAGAATTGATTAATAAATTTATTGATGACTTTCGGAGCAGTTTTTATTGAGACTTAAAAGTAATTCATGTGTATATCGCATGACATGTATGGGTAGTATAACAATTGCCTACTATACTACCAGACCTTTTTCATGTCTGTCCTGTTTATTGCCATATCCATCATCTATGTTGTATTCAAACTGGTAGGGCATCGGGATCTCCTGCTAAAACAATTTGTATTATCATTATATTAAATGCCGTTTTCCTAAGGAAATGAATTTTTTGAAAAAATTAATTATTTTCTAATACTTTATATTCTGATTGATAGGATCGGGCTTTTGGCTGATTATAGGCATCGGTGCGATGGCTCCGGTAGTCGTCCGCCGGCTCCGGTAGCTCTCTATTCATCTGATTGTAGACACGATTATAATTGCCGTCATTATTGACGTATTGACTCAAAACAATGTCCACGAAAACGATTAGTAGAAGTAATTTGATCTGAAATGTTAATTAGCACCAAGTTTATAAATATTAATTTAGTTTACCTTGGAGCTTTAATAGATTTTGCAATAGAATTTATTATGAATAATAGATTAAGTTTTGAAAACTTTTTTGACATTACATGCAATGCTTAAGAATTATTATCAAGTTTTAAATGTTGATATTTTATTAAGTACTGTATTATTGTCATTAGGAGTAATTAACCTTTTTCTAAGTGGTAGAGAGAGAGAGAGAGAGAGAGAGAGAGAGAGAGATTAATTAATTTTTATTGTATAGTTTAAATGTAAATATATTTGTAACAAAATTCTTACTTTTATTTTGTGTTTAATTATAATACAGTAACAAAAATTTGATTTTATTATACTGTATTTAAATTTTTTTTCTAATTTTTTAATGTATTTCATTTTGACAATATTAGATTTAAAGAATTATTCAATTAAAATTTAATTTAAAAAGTATTAATGCAACTTGATTAAATTTAGTTATGTAAACATTTGTAATTTGTAAAATATTTAATATAGACTAATAATTGTAACTTTACTTGATATAATATTTTTCAAAATATTCTTAACTCATTAAAACCTTGAATTAAACAAAATATTAATTTGGATTATGAAAATCATTTTACAATTACTCGTGTTATAGTTTCATAAAAGTAAATGCCTTAAATTAAATCTTACTACTTATTTCATGAGGTTATTATTATTATTATTATTTTCTATATTAATTAATAGTTATATTAATTTTATAAGTACGATAAAAGTATACATGATTAATAATTTACCATATTATAAAATATGTTTAAAAATCATTTATTAATAACAGAATTCAAGAATATTTGAATTATTAAATAATAATTAGTTTCTCAGCAAATGTCGTAAATATGTATAATCATCATATGAAATATATCATACAGTATAGTCATATAATTTAGTTATTTCTAATATAAATGCAAAAATTTTACAATTTTGAGTAAATCCTATCCCCCAATGGACCCTAAAAAGCCTACATTTTAATTATATTAGTTTTGTTATAATGTATTTTTTTGGAAAACAACTCCTAATGTAATGTAAATCTAATATACATTTCGCTGTAATACATGCATTGGGTTTAGTGTCATATTCTGACAAACATTGCATTGATTTTGAGCTTTTATACGCAAAACGAGATCTTAATCCCCAAGCCTGGGATGTCATGCATTAGGCAAAAGTGATGGCATTTCCCTTTTAATGCATTTTGAAACTCAAATATTTTGTTATTTATGGCTTTTTAGGCATTCATTTGATTTATTTAAACAGTTTTTAGGAGTTTGAGAATCCTTTGAATAAAATTCTATACTTATTATGAATTTTCTCAAATGATTTGTTTGCTTTTATAACCTAGATAATATTGTATCATTAAAAGACCATTCATTATATAAAATACCAAAATAATTAATATAATAACTTATATTAATTGAATATTATCTAACTTATATGAAAATTTGTGGTATTTTATTTTTATGTATTATTTTTAGCAAATACAAATTCTTTGGAAATATTCTAGTTCAATATTATTTAAATTAATAATTATGTTATATTCATAGATATTCTAGATAAACGTGATAGCTATAAATTATATCATATTATCGTGAAAGTAAGTTTAAAAATACATTTTATCTTGATTAGAAAAAATTCAAATAATGTTATATTAATAGGAATTTTTAAAATATAAATCTGTTGCTGGAATATGATTTAAACACATTGGGATATTCATTATAATCTTTTATACTACGTGCTATAGTCAATAAGTCTAGAGTTCGTTATCTTATATTTTCACTGATAATAGCCTCAAAACATACGCCAAGTGTCAGGGAATGAGTGATCAGTTTCTATTGTCTCAAACAAAAAACCAAAAAATTTTACCCAAAAACTAGCAAAAAAAATCAATAAATGAATTATTTATCAAATATCTAATACTTTACTACTGTTTAACAAAAAATAAATCTCATATTTTTAGCTCACATTCAGTGCTTTCCATTCAACAACAAAAAACTTATAATAAACTGAAGGTTTGCCTCAAAGGTTAGGATTAATTTTGAACACAAAAAACTTTTGCCCAAAAATAAGATAATAAACTATTTTCAGTGAAAAGCGTGAAATATGCGAAGAATTTCCTACATTTTAATAACCATTGAGTGATTATAACAACAAAAAACAAATCCCATTATCAAACATATCATCCATTTTAAAATAAGATAATAAACTATTTTCAGTGAAAAGCGTGAAATATGCGAAGAATTTCCTACATTTTAATAACCATTGAGTGATTATAACAACAAAAAACAAATCCCATTATCAAACATATCATCCATTTTGATGACCGCAATCTTACCGCTATTAGCCTCGGAGTCATTGATCTGATTCTCTGGCAACAAGTCTTTCACTATCTTCGCGACGAATCCTTTATCACCAGAGTTTTGGTCATTATTTTCATTGATTGTCTCAATCGATTCGTGCGAGTATCTCATCGCCAGATTCATCAGTATCTCAATCTTGTCCTCCGAGACCACATCCGCCACAATCGGTGCCATCAATTGGATCAGTGCTGATGTCCTACCATTAGGCCTCTTCACCACAGCGTACAGTAGGCGCACCCACTCTATCCTCGCCATCACCGACCCGTACGACAGGCGCTGGAAATGTCTCTTAAATTTCGACACTTTATGATCCGATCCAATGGTGCGGATCAGTGTCGCGAACCAACTCATCGCCAGATGCCTTTGCGTGCGATTATCGCTGTCAATGTGTGTCACCAATTGATTCAACAGCAGTGGCAGCGACTGATAGCTAATGATAATCGCGAAGACGTTTGAAAACTTTCTTAAATACATTTTCGGCACTTTTAACGACTCATTCGCCAACTTCTTGTCGCCGTTACTCTCGCTGGCGATCAGATGTCTGACCACCGCCGACACCAACTCATTCCTCGTGTGTTTAATAGCGGATATTATCTCACTTTTAGTCCGTTTCTTAGCCTTGTTCTCGACGCTAATATACCTCTCGATTAACGCATAATAATCGCAATCAACGCCATGTTTAGCGCTATTATTGTCTAAAACTTTTTCCCAGAAGTACTGTCGCATCCAATGGAGTCCAATGAGTGCCGCGCTTCGGAGCTCTTCGATGGACGGCTGAGTGCCGGAGGAATGACACAAACTGTGGCGACAATCGATGATCCATTGCGGACACGAGTACTTGTGGGCCAATCGGCGCACGCTTTTCATATTATTCTCGTGCGAGTACTGCGAGATAGCCGTACAGAACCGGATCACCGCCAGACCTATTGGTGGTGACAAACCATGAGTTGATACAAACATCACCCGCATTTATTCCATGCCTTACAGTACAGCGAGTAGACAGCGCTCTCATCCCTGTCCTCCTCGGCCAGCCTCTGGTTCGCGCGATTGTCTTCACTCAAGGCGTTGATCATCTCGCGGGTGGCCATCAGGTGGACCGCGACGTCCACGTTGTGGTGCACACGAGTCAACCAAATGGTGATCTTATTCTTGGCGAACGTCAGCAGCTCGTAGTCGATGTCCACAAAGTCTGGGTTCTGGTAAATACTGCCGAAGACGGTGACCAACTCGTGGCGATCGCTCCACGGACTCAACGCATGGGTGGTGACAGTCCTCCGGAGCTCACTCTTTGGCGGATTGGTGTCCGCGGACATCGCGGTCGACGCGTCCATACCGGTGATGAGATTGTGGCTAATATTTGGTGATAATTACGCGAAACGATTAACACGTGTTTGAAAATAGCATTTAAATCGCGACTGAAATGCAAAAGTTTGCAAAACTCGCAAAACTATTGTAAATAAATGCGTTAATATCACTCCTTTTCATATATAACTCGCATAGCGTTACTAATATCAAAAAGGCACTAAATAACGGTCACACATAAAATAAACTACAACTCGTAAACAATATTAAAACCACGCTACATAAAGTAAACCTGCTACAAAAATAAATCAAAATACACAATAAACTAGATTAAATGAACTACAATCATAATGAAACGATTAAAACAATGCCAAAACAGCACTCACTGGCGATCGACCACTTGATCCGCGCTCACCACTCGTGAAACACCCTATAAATGGTGTGAATTGTATTGAGTTATGCAATGAATGCATAGCAAAAGGCGGGACTCTTTCACCACTCATACAATCAGTTCACTCAACGCCTGTGTTATTGTGTTTTCATGTGATTTATTGAACCTATTATTTGGTGATAACTGCCGTTAAGACACAATTTAAACACCTATTTAGACACCAATTGTCTCATCATTATTGCCAATCAGTGTATTTCATACATGTGAACACCATTTATAGTGTAATTGATCCCGATTTTAGGTTTAGGTTTTTTTGTAGTGTTTTTTTTTAAATTGATTTTAATTTAGTTTTTCAATTGATATAAAAGTTTTTGAAGTAATTAGTCACTGATCTGATCCCATGGATACACGCGCTTATCATCAATGATCGGCTCGTGGTTTGAATGTTTGGATTCTTCAGGAATGCTGTGAGTGTTGACTCGATCGCTGCCGAAGACATATGTTTACCACTGTTTTGTATCACTGAATGAATCCATTGTCTTATCAGTTGAACGCCATCAACAAGAACATGTCGAAAGTGAGCGATGAATCCATGGATGTGTCCGTCGATGACGGCGTCGAGAATCACAGTCCAGACAAAGACGTGTCGGACGCGGATGACGTGAGTCCTTACCACTCATTGCCTGCCCAGACATCCCACTCATTGATGATATTATCACCGAATAGGA